AAACTTTCTTCTTGTATGTTTTGTAAACTCTTCTTCACTTCTGCTCTGAGATTTTAAACTTAGAAACTGAGACTTTCTCTTGGAGTAACAGTGTCTGCTGTGACAGTACCAGTGTCTGCTGTGACAGTACCAGTGTCTGCTGTGACAGTACCAGTGTCTGCTGTGACAGTACCAGTGTCTGCTGTGACAGTACCAGTGTCTGGTGTGATAGTACCAGTGTCTGGGATGAGAGTACCAGTATCTGGTATTACAGTACCAGTGTCTGGTGTGATAGTACCAGTGTCTGGTGTGACAGTAACAGTGGTGTGACAGTACCAGTGTCTGGTGTGACAGTAAGTGGTGTGACAGTACCAGTGTCTGGTGTGACAGTACCAGTGTCTGGTGTGACAGTCCCAGTGTCTGGTGTGACAGTTGCAGTGTCCAGTGTGACAGTGGTGTGACAGTAACAGTATCTGGTGTGACAGTAACAGTGGTGTGACAGTACCAGTATCTGGTGTGACAGTAACAGTGGTGTGACAGTACCAGTGTCTGGTGTGACAGTAACAGTGGTGTGACAGTGCCAGTATCTGGTGTGACAGTAACAGTAGTGTGACAGTACCAGTGTCTGGTGTGACAGTAACAGTGGTGTGACAGTAACAGTGTCTGGTGTGACAGTGTCTGGTGTTACAGTAACAGTGGTGTGACAGTACCAGTGTTTGTACAAAAGACTTCAATTTATAATTTTGACTTGAAAAACACTTATTGTACAGACAAAGATTTCCCTAAATAAATTTTTCTATTTTTGGAGTCCACCTCTTAGACTCACCCCATCCATAGTCCACCTCTTAGACTCACCCTGTCCATAGTCCGCCTCTTAGACTCACCCCGTCCATTCTTCTATTTTGTTAGTGTGTCTCTGTAAATAGTCCAAGTTAGACCAAAACATCGTCCTAAGCTCCTGTCTCCCATGTGTGGGTTATTTGTGTACAAATGTTGAATATAGCGCTATGAATGACTCCTTGTTAAGGCTAGTGAATGCTGCCATTAAGTTTGCCAGTGTCACATTTACTGCAGTGGCTTCCTGAGGTTATCTTGCATGGAAGTTTTTACCCTCTGACCCCCCAAGTTTGTACTCTGTTTCTGGTCATCTCTGAGCTTCCCCAGTTTTCAAAACTTTGCATTTACTGAGGTTAAATATAATAAGGTGGGAAAGGCTGGAGGCAGGGGGTAAAGGTTTTTCTGTGCAAGGGGCTTGGACATCCAGCAAGTGTGTGTGAGCGTGTTAGATAGGAGTGGAAACAAGTGTTTTTTTATGACTTGATGTGCTGTTGGAGTGTGAGCAATGTAACATTTATGAAGGGATTCCGGGAAACCAGTTAGCTAGACTTGAGTCCTAGAGGGGTGTTTATATGTTGTTGTTTTGAAGGGTAGCATCGGCCTGCCTCTGGCAAGACAGTGATGGAGTGAGTGAGTGATGATAAAAATGTTTCTTCTTTTCTTCTTTTTTGGATCACTCTGCCTCAGTGGGAGACGGCTGATGCATTAATAAAAAATCTAACAGCCACTTGTCAGGCTAATTATGCAGGTTGTCCAGATACATTTGTAGATTTTCCATTTTTTTTTCTGTTTATATTCTAATTATTGGGTTTATATCATCTACAGACATTGACCCTTGTCACACCTGAGGGACAAAACATCTCAGCAATCTTGCCAGAGTACAAAAATTTTAACAGACTTCCATTTCACTCAATGAGAAATGGATCGTACCCTCCCTCCCTATGGTGGCTGACTTCTATATGCATACTAATTTGTTAATAAAAATAAGGTACACAAAAATAGTCTAGCATATACAAGGACACACACACACACAGGAGGGTCAGGGGAGACATGATAACGACATATAAAATACTGCGCAGAATAGACAAGGTGGACAAAGACGGGATGTTCCAGCGAGGGGACACAGAAACAAGAGGTCACAATTGGAAGTTGAAGACTCAGATGAATCAAAGGGATGTTAGGAAGTATTTCTTCAGTCATAGAGTTGTCAGGCCGAGGAATAGCCTAGAAAGTGATGTTGTGGAGTCGGGAACCATACATAGTTTTAAGGCGAGGTATGATAAAGCTCATGGAGCAGGGAGAGGGAGGACCTAGTAGCAATCAGTGAAGAGGCGGGACCAGGAGCTATGACTCGACCCCTGCAACCACAAATAGGTGAGTACACACACACACACACACACACACACACACACACACACACACACACACACACACACACACACACACACACACACACACATGCACACACACACACACACACACACACACACACAACACACACACACACACACACACACACACACACACGGAAGGCAAATCCTGTGTCACAAACCTTCTGGAGTTTTATGATAAAAAAACAGAAGTAAAGGGCAAGAGAGAGAGGGTGGGGTTTATTGCATCTTCTTGGACTGCCAAAAAGGCCTTTGACACAGTTCCTCACAAGAGATTAGTGCAGAAGCTAGAGCATCAGGCGCATATAACAGGAAGGGCACTGCAATGGATCAGAGAATACCTGACAGGGAGGCAACAACGAGTCATGGTACGTAATGATGTATCACAGTGGGCACCTGTGACGAGCGGGGTCCCACGGGGTCGGTCCTAGGACCAGTGCTATTTTTGGTATATGTGAACGACATGACGGAAGGGTTAGACTCAGAAGTGTCCCTGTTTGCAGATGATGTGAAGTTAATGAGGAGAATTAAATCTGATGAGGACCAGGCAGGACTTCAAAGAGACCTGGACAGACTGGACACCTGGTCCAGCAAATGGCTTCTCGAATTTAATCCTGCCAAATGCAAAGTCATGAAGATAGGGGAAGGGTACAGAAGACCACAGACAGAGTATAGGCTAGGTGGCCAAAGACTGCAAACCTCACTCAAGGAGAAAGATCTTGGGGTGAGTATAACACCGAGCATGTCTCCGGAAGCACACATCAATCAGATAACTGCTGCAGCATATGGGCGCCTGGCAAACCTGAGAACAGCATTCCGACACCTTAGTAAGGAATCATTCAAGACACTGTACACCGTGTATGTCAGGCCCATACTGGAGTATGCAGCACCTGTTTGGAACCCGCACTTGATAAAGCACGTCAAGAAACTAGAGAGAGTACAAAGGTTTGCAACAAGGTTAGTTCCAGAGCTAAGGGGAATGTCCTATGAACAAAGATTAAGGGAAATCGGCCTGATGACACTGGAGGACAGGAGGGTCAGGGGAGACATGATAACGACATATAAAATACTGCGTGGAATAGACAAGGTGGACAAGGACAGGATGTTCCAGGGAGGGGACACAGAAACAAGAGGCCACAATTGGAAGTTGAAGACACAAATGAGTCAGAGAGATAGTAGGAAGTATTTCTTCAGTCATAGAGTTGTAAGGCAGTGGAATAGCCTAGAAAATGACATAGTGGAGGCAGGAACCATACACAGTTTTAAGACGAGGTTTGATAAAGCTCATGGAGCGGGGAGAGAGAGGGTCTAGTAGCAACCGGTGAAGAGGCGGGGCCAGGAGCTAGGACTCGACCCCTGCAACCACAAATAGGTGAGTACAAATAGGTGAGTACACACTGCAAGAAGGCTTTCGACACAGTTCCTCACAAGAGGTTACTGCAAAAGCTAGAGGACCAGGCACACATAACAGGAAAGGCACTGCAATGGATCAGAGAATATCTGACAGGGAGGCAACAACGAGTCATGGTACGCGACGAGGTGTCAGAGTGGGCGCCTGTGACAAGCGGGGTTCCACAGGGGTCAGTCCTAGGACCTGTGCTGTTCTTGGTATACGTGAACGACATAACGGAAGGGATAGACTCAGAAGTGTCCTTGTTTGCAGACGATGTGAAGTTAATGAGAAGAATCGAATCGGACGAGGATCAGGCAGGACTACAAAGAGATCTGGACAGGCTACAAGCCTGGTCCAGCAACTGGCTCCTTGAATTTAACCCTGCCAAATGCAAAGTCATGAAGATTGGGGAAGGGCAAAGAAGACCGCAGACACAATATAGTTTAGATGGCCAAAGACTGCAAACCTCACTCAAGGAAAAAGATCTGAGGGTGAGTATAACACCGAGCATATCTCCTGAGGCGCACATCAATCAGATAACTGCTGCAGCATACGGGCGCCTGGCAAACCTACGGATAGCGTCCCGATACCTCAGTAAGGATTCGTTTAAGACTCTGTACACCATCTACGTCAGGCCCATACTGGAGTATGCAGCACCCGTTTGGAACCACACCTAGTCAAGCACGTCAAGAAATTAGAGAAAGTGCAAAGGTTTGCAACAAGACTAGTCCCAGAGCTACGGGGATTGTCCTATGAAGAAAGGTTGAGGGAAATCGGCCTGACGACACTGGAGGCCAGGAGGGTCAGGGGAGACATGATAACGACATATAAAATACTGCGCGGAATAGACGAGGTGGACAAAGACGGGATGTTCCAGAGATGGGACACAGACACAAGAGGTCACAATTGGAAGTTGAAGACTCAGATGAATCAAAGGGATGTTAGGAAGTATTTCTTCAGTCATAGAGTAGTCAGGCCATGGAATAGCCTAGAAAGTGATGTGGTGGAGGCAGGAACCATACATAGTTTTAAGGCGAGGTATGATAGAGCTCATGGGGCAGGGAGAGAGAGGACCAAGTAGCAATCAGTGAAGAGGCGGGGCCAGGAGCTGTGACTCGACCCCTGCAACCACAAATAGGTGAGTACAAATAGGTGAGTACACACACGCACACACACACACACACACGCACGCACGCACGTACGCACGCACGCGCACGCACGCACGCGCACGCACGCACACACACACACGCACGCGCATGCATACGCACGCACGCACGCACGCACGCACGCACACACACACACACACACACACACACACGCACTGCTGGAAACACTGCAAATAATACAGTACGTAAACCCCTCACAATTTCTGCTGTAAACTGAAGGAAACTACAACTCACCGCCCATAACACCGAAGGTAAACTGAAGGAAGTAAATACTTGTAGCAAAGGAGGAGATACCGAAGGCCACCGAGGATATGACCGCCCCCAGGATGCACACCGTGCGGAAACCATATGCATTGGCCAGGGCCGACACGAAGGGACCTGCAAATAATAATAATAATAATAATAATAATAATAATAATAATAATAATAATAATAATAATAATAATAATAATAATTTTTATTTCTACAAGTACATGTACAAAGTATACAGACCATAGTTGACATCACTGATATAATACAATATAACAAGTCACTTGTTATGCAGAACAATTCTGACAATAGTGAGTAACAGAGAGAATATGGAAACTGTAACCATGGTGCTGAGTTTGTCACAACACTTACAATAGCATGATTTTACAAGTCTCTAAATATATGATGACATTACACTGACAGTGCATGAGATGGTGTTATAATGATTCTGTAGAAGTAACTGTTATAATGATCCTGTAATATAAAATACATAACATAATGAGCTTATAACATAAAATGCGTAATATAATGATTGTATAACAAAGTTGGTAAAATAATGACCAGAAGCATCAGAAAATGCATGAACTAGCCATTAGAGCATTATATTATAGAATACAATGTCATTATAGAATACAGTGTGTATAATAGGATACAGTGTGTCATAATAGGATACCTGAAGTTTACCTGGAGAGGGTTTCGGGGGTCATCGCCCCCACGGCCCGGCCTGAGACCAGGCCTCATGGTGGATCAGGGTCTGATCAACCAGGCTGTTATTGCTGGCTGCACGCAAGCTGACGTACGAACCACAACCCGGTTGGTCAGGTACTGACTTTAGGTGCCTGTCCAGTGCCTTCTTGAAGACAGTCAGAGGTCTATTGGTAATTCCCCTTATGTATGCTGGGAGGCAGTTGAGCAGTCTTGGGCCCCAGACACTTATTGTGTTGTCTCTCAGTGCACTCGTGGCGCCCCTGCTTTTCATCGGGGGAATGTTGCATCTCCTGCCGAGTCTTTTGCTTTCATATGGAGTGATTTTCGTGTGCAAGTTCGGTACCAATCCCTCCAGGACCTTCCAAGTGTATATTATCATGTATCTCTCTCGCCTGCGTTCCAGGGAATACAGATCAAGGACCTTCAACCATTCTCAGTAGTTTAGGTGCCTTATCATACATATATATACATATATGTATATATATCATACATATATGTGCCATGAAAGTTGATGTACATTCTCCAGGTCTGCAATATTGCCAGCCTTGAAGGAGGCCGTTAGTGTACAGCAGTATTCCAGCGGATACAGTGGGTGTAATTATATGATACAGTGTCATTATAGGATACAGTGTGTGTCATTATAAGATACAGTGGGTGTTGTTATAAGATACAGTGGGTGTTGTTATAAGATACAGTGGGTGTCATTATATGATGTAGTGGGATTCATTATAGGATACTGTCTGTCATAGGATACAGTGTGTGTCATAGGATACAATTGGTGTCATTATAGGATACAGTGAGTGTTGTTAAAAATTATAATGTAACTTCAAAATGTTAATTACAGTGAGTACAGTGATTTTTTTAGGGGTGACAATAAAGTACAAAAATTGTGAAAGATAGTACAGTACACTACAAAATAATTGTCTGAAGATTACTTTTGTGTGTGTGAGGGTGGGAGGGTTTATTGCCTGGCAAATGTAATTCAGATTAATAAAATGTAATTGGTATATATAAAATGTAGTGTATAATGAAATGTAGTGAAGATATAAAATTAATTATAAGTGAAATCAAATCAAATGTAAAAAAAATGTAATTAATATGATCAAAATAATATAATAATACATAAACAGTTATAAATGAAATATAATCACAAGTGGTAATAATACAGAAAATCTCTGGTTTATGTGTCAGTATTAGAATGTAACAAAGATGAGTACAATAGTACACTATTACCTCACTTGTACATGCTCATATAATATTCAAGAATCTGTAAAATGTATTCTTCAGTGACCCAAAAACGAAGCAATTTCACCATCATTCACACTGTCACTATCTTAAGAGGTGTGCAGATGTCACTCTAAACAGCAAATATCTCGAACCCCTCCTTTATAGTGTAATTTCCGCCTCCAGGACTCGAGTCCGTCTAGGTGGTTTTCCCCTGAATTCTTTCACAAAATATTACCCTTCTCACACTCCGACAGCTTGTCATATCCCCAAAACCATTACAGTTGTGACCGGGTGTGGAAGTGTGAATTGCTCATTACTCTATAATTTGTTCATGATTGTAGCCAAAGTATAAACGTAAGTAACCATTCTACAGAATTCATTACCTTTGTAACTTGTGAGCTCATTACCTTTGTACCTAGTTCAGCTATCAAAACTTTGGGGGCCCAGTCCCTGGACCCATTACGTACCTCTGTAATCTGTAAATACCTTTGTAACTTGTCATGATTGTGACCAGACTTACCTGGAGTTCATTACCTTTGTAAATTGTGAGTTCATTACCTTTGTAAATTGTGAGTTCATTACCTTTGTAAATTGTGAGTTCATTACCTCTGTAACTTGCTCAGCTATCAAAACTTTGGAGTCCAGTCCCTGGACCAATTATGTACCTCTGTAATCTTTTGACTACCGCCCACAGGATGGGTATGGGGTGCATAATAAACATATTAAACTAACTAACTCTACTCATATCTAACACACTCATGCATGCTTGCTGCATGTCTAAGCCCCTTGCACACATCTTTCTTAGGACGACCCCTACCTCTTAATATTGATTTATACACCCTCTAAGTCATCCTAATTTGCACCATTCTCTCTGTATGACCAAACCACCTCAACAACCCCTCTTCAGTCTTCTGGATAGCTCCACACCTCCTAATTTCCAAACTACAAATTCTCTGCATAGTATTTGCACTGCATATTGCCCTTAGACACAACATCTCCACTGCCTCCAGCCTTTTCCTTGTTGCAGCATTTACAACCCAAGCTTCACACTCATATAAGAGTGTTGGTATCACTATACTCTCATACATTCCCTTCTTTGCCTCCATGGATAATATTTTTTTTGTGTCCACAGATACCTCAACACACCACTTATCTTTTTCCCTTCATCAGTTCTATGATTTATCTCGTCTTTCAAAAACCCATCTGCTGACAACTGAACATTTCTGGCTTTGTGACTCAACTTCCTGTTTTCCTGGGTCCTTTGCCTTCTATACTTTTCCCATGCTCCTTGACACTTGATTTTATCATCTCCACACCTCTGGGTAAACCATGGTGGGGGTGTACTCACCTAATTGTGGTTGCGGGGGTTGAATCATAGTTTCTGGCCCCGCCTTTTCACTGGTCGTTACTGGGTCACTCAAACCCTGCTCCATAAGCTTTATCATACCTCTTCTTAAAGCTATGTATGGGTTCTGCCTCCATCACCTCCCTTTCCAGACTATTCCACTTCCTGATAACTCTGAAGAAATACTTCCTAATGCCCATGTGGCTCATCTGAGTCTTCCACTTCCAATTGTGACCCCTTGTTGCTGTGTCCCATCTCTAGAACATCCTGTCCTTGTCCATCCTGTCGATTCCTCTCAGTATTTTCTATGTTGTTATCATGTCCCCCCTATCTCTCCTGTCCTCCAGTGTCATCAGGTCGATTTTCCTTAACCTCTCTAAGTAAGACATGCCCCTTAACTCTGGGACTAGTCTTGCTGCAAACCTTTGCACTTTCTCTAATTTCTTGATGTGCTTGGCCAGGTGTGGGTTCCAAACTGGTGTTGCATACTCCAATATAGGCCTGATATACACAGTGTACAGAGTCCTGAATGATTCCTTCTGAGATGCCGGAATGCTATTCTTAGGGTTGCTAGTCGCCCGTATGCCGCAGCAGTTGTCTGGTTGATGTGCGCCTGAGGAGATGTGTTCGGTGTCATACAAATGCCAAGATACTTTTCCTTGAGTGAGGTTTGTAGTCTCTGGTTCCCAAGACTGTATTCTGTATGTGGTCTTCCTTGACCTTCCCCAATCTTCATGACTTTGCACTTGGTGGGGTTGAACTCCAGAAGCCATTTGCTGAACCAGGTCTGTAGCCTGTGCAGATCCCTTTAGTTCTGTCTGGTCCTTCTCAGATTGAATTCTCTTTATTTACTTGACATCGTCTGCAAACAGAGACACTTCCGAGTCTATTCCTTCTGTCATGTCATTCACAGATACCAGAAACAGCACCAGCCCTAGGACTGACCCCTGTGGAACCCCACTTGTCATAGGTGCCCACTCCGATCACTCGTCACGTACCATGACTCGCTGTTGTCTTCCTGACAAGTATTGTTTGATCAATTGCAGTGCCTTCCCTGTTATACCTGCCTGGTCCTCCAGCTTTTGTACTAACCTCTTGTGCAGAACTATGCCAAAAGCCTTCTTACAGTCCAAGAAAATGCAGTCTTTCCACTCCCCTCTCTTTCTCTCTTGTCTTATTGCTGTCATCTTGTCATAGAACTCCAGTAGATTTGTGACAAAGGATTTCCCGTCCCTGAATCCATGCTGGGTGTCGTTGATAAGATCATTCCTTTCTAGGTGTTCCACCACTCTTCTCCTGATAATCATCTACATGACTTTGCATATTATACATGTCAGTGACACTGGTCTGTAGTTCAGTGCTTCGTGTCTGTCTCCTTTTTTAAAAACAATATGATGTTCAATGAGGACAAATTCCAACTACTCCGTTATGGAAAACTGGAGGAGATAATAACTAGAACAGAGTATACTACAGACTCTGGCCATACAATAGAGCAGAAAAATAATGTAAGGAACCTGGGAGTAGTAATGTCTGAGGATCTCACTTTCAAGGATCACAACAGTGCCACGATCACAAGTGCAAAGAAAATGATAGGATGGATAATGAGAACGTTCAAAACGAGAGATGCCAAGCCAATGATGATCCTTTTCAAATCACTTGTTCTCTCTAGGCTGGAATACTGTTGTACACTAACTTCTCCATTAAAAGCAGGTGAAATTGCAGATCTAGAGAGTGTACAGAGATCCTTTACTGCACGTATAAGTTCTGTCAAGCACCTTAACTACTGGGAAAGCTTGGAAGCACTTGACTTGTACTCGTTGAAATGCAGGAGGGTGAGATATATCATAATCTACACTTGGAAAATCCTGGAAGGAATGGTCCCAAATCTGCACACAGAAATCACTCCCTACGAAAGTAAAAGACTGGGCAGGCGATGCAAAATGCCCCCAATTAAAAGTAGGGGCGCTATTGGTACACTAAGGGAAAACACCATAAGTGTCCAGGGCCCAAGACTGTTCAACAGCCTCCCATCAAGCATTAGGGGAATTACCAATAAACTCCTGGCTGCCTTCAAGAGAGAGCTGGACAGGTACCTCAAGTCAGTGCTGGATCAGCCGGGCTGTGGCTCATACGTTGGACTGTGTGCAGCCAGCAGTAACAGCCTGGTTGATCAGGCCCTGATTCACCGGGAGGCCTGGTCATGGACCGGGCCATGGGAGCGTTGATCCCCGGAATAACCTCCAGGTAACCAGGTACATTTGCTGTCTTCCATGCCTCGGGTAGTCGCCCTTTTCTATAGATGTGTTGAAGATTTTTGTTAAGTGGTACACAGAGTGCCTCTGCTCCCACTCTCAGGACCCATGGAAAGATGTTATCCGGTCACATTGCCTTTGAGGTGTCTAGTTCGCTTAGCAGCCTCTTCACCTCTTCCTCGGTTGTATATCTTGTGTCTAGCACTTGTGTCAGCATAGTTGCTGATCCCCTTGTATGTGTTGTATAGCGTATTATAGTACCATCCATGTGCTTTATATAGAAGATCCCTATTAGGCCGAGTGACTGTATGACGTCATGGGATGCAGAGTGAGTGAGTGACGAGCTGCCTCTTCCTCACTCGACGGATAGACATAGAAGCAGGCAGAACACGGCAGGCCTGGGCTCCCACCTCTCATCACAGTCTGACAATATATAGTGTTACCATCCAACAAGGTGTTTACCTTATCCATCATATCTCCTTAAGAACCCCATACGACACTTGATGGTGTACCCTACCCCTCTATCTTTCAGGAGTCCTTGCTGTCTCCACTGTGAATACATCTTTAAATCTCACATTGTGCTTCTCACATACTTCTCAGTCATTTATTGTGATCTCGCCTCCTTTCCTCAGCCTGATTACCTGGTCCTTGACTCTTGTTTTTCCTCCTGATGTGACTGTACAACAGGTTTGGGTTGGACTTAGCTTTCGCTGCTATGCCATTTATGTATTGTCGCTGGGCCTCCCTCCTTACCTGTGCATATTCATTTCTGGCTCTTCAACTACTCTCCTTATTCTCCTGGGTCCTTTGCTTCCTATTTCTTCAATTCTCTACTGCATTTAGTTTTGGCCTCTCCACGCCTCTGGGTGAACCAAGGGCTCGTTCTGGCCTTCTCGTTATTTCTGTTGCCCTTAGGTACAAACCTCCCCTCTGCTTCCTTGCATATTGCTGTCACACAGTCCATCATCTCATTTACTGATTTCCCTGCCAGTTCTGTCCCATTGGACCTCATAAAGAAATTCCTCAAGCCTATGTAGTCCCCTCTCTTGTAGCTTGGCTTCCTCCGCTCTGCCCCTCCTGTGTGCACGTGCTCACCCTGGGTGTTAACAGTGGTGGATGTCATCCTGGGTGTTAGTTAACAGTGGTGGATGTCATCCTGAGTGGTAATCAACAATTGAGAGTTAGTGTTATCAGACAACTCACCCACAATAAGATAGAAGCCTCCCAGTAGAGAGCTGACCCAGGACACCTCAGAGTTAGACACATTAAATTCTTCTCTGAACCTGGGCAGCAACATCCCACACGAGAAGATGATTCCATCCACCACTACATTACACATGAAGGATGCTGCCACAACCACCCAACCCCATCCTCCGTCAGGCGGAACAACGTGTGTAGCCTGTGTGGGGGAGATACAACAACGACATTATTGATACTTGGAAGAAATAATACATTAGTGTCGCAAGTACAGAGAACACTGTGTTACCATCATCAGTGTTAAGAACAGTGTTACCATCATCAGTGTTAAGAACACAGTGTTACCATCATCAGTGTTAAGAACAGTGTGTTACCATCATCATTGTTAAGAACAGTGTTACCAACATCAGTGTTAAGAACACAGTGTTACCATCATCAGTGTTAAGAACACTGTGTTACCATCATCAGTGTTAAGAACAGTGTTACCAACATCAGTGTTAAGAACAGTGTTGCCATCATCAGTGTTAAGAACACTGTGTTACCATCATCAGTGTTAAGAACACTGTTTTATTAATTTCTACTTAATATGTAAAAAAATATTATTTCTGAATTTAATAATGGTATACAATAACGACAAGTTGATAAGTAAGACGTGTATCAGTCAGGTATCCTTATACCCACATGTATCGTCTAAGAGGTCAGCCCCGTGGAACTGACCTGAATGAACATTAAAATGGTATAAAATACCGACAGATTGTTAGGTAAGACACATATGCAACAGTTAGGTATCTTTATTTCGAAACGTTTCGCCTACACAGTAGGCTTCTTCAGTCGAGTACAGAAAAGTTGATAGAAGCAGAAGATACTTGAAGACGATGTAATCAGTCCATCACCCTTAAAGTTTTGAGGTGGTCAGTCCCTCAGTCTGGAGAAGAGCATTGTTCCGTTGTCTGAAACAATATTGTTTCAGACAACGGAACAATGCTCTTCTCCAGACTGAGGGACTGACCACCTCAAAACTTTAAGGGTGATGGACTGATTACATCGTCTTCAAGTATCTTCTGCTTCTATCAACTTTTCTGTACTCGACTGAAGAAGCCTACTGTGTAGGCGAAACGTTTCGAAATAAAGATACCTAACTGTTGCATATGGAACTGACCTCTTCTCCGGTCTGAGGGACTGACCACCTCAAAACTACGTCCTCAAGAATGATAGACTAATTATATCATCTTCACATCTTTACTGCTTCTGCTAATTCTTCTGTACTCAACTGAAGCAGCCTACTGTGAGGGCGAAACGTTTCGGAATAAAGATACCTAACTGTTACACATGTATCTTGCCTATCAACATACATAGCAACTCCTGGTCTAGTGGCTAACGCGACGGGCTGGAGTTTTGAGACTCTATGACCGCGGGTTCAATCCCGGCCGGGGGTATGGTTTATTTGCAATCGTGTCATTACGATTTCTTAAGTCATAGCAACTCCTGCTGCCTGTCTCCCCCTTGACACTATCAGTGAACAGTAAATTCCTAAAAGATAGTGCCTCGGAATTGCAAATCCCCATTACTCACATAATAAATCTGTCCATCACCACTAATACCGTACCAGAGGGGTTCAAGGAGGCCACAGTTACTCCTGTCTTCAAGAAAAATAGTAGGTCTGATGTCAGCAACTATAGGCCTGTTAATATACTCAGTATAATGTTCAAAATTTTAGAGAGGGCGGTGTACTCTCAAGTAATTAAGTACCTTAATGACAACAACATTGTTCATAGTTATCAATTAGGCTTTAGAAGATCTTACTCAACCAAAACCTCCCTAATTAATCTGGTGGATTATATGAGAACTGAAATGTCGATAGGGAACCTCATAGGAATGGTAACCTTAGATTTGCAAAAGTAGGTTTATTCAGGTATACACAAACACAGTTACAAAGATTATTATACATAGCAGCATATGTGTAAAGAACCCAAAACAATCCAAAAAAAAATTAAAGTGACTTTGTCTTCGATACTGTCAACCACAATATATTATGTAAGAAACTTCAAGCTATCGGTATAGGTTCCGTAGACTGGTTTAAGTCCTACCTTAGCAACAGGAGACAAATTGTCAAAATCAACAAAAAACAGAATCAGAACCCCTGCCGATATCATGTGGAGTTCCCCAAGGTAGTATTCTGGGTCCCTTATTATTCTCATGCTATGTTAATGATATGCCTATCAGTGTCAAGTGCAAACTCCTACTGTATGCAGATGACAGTGCTCTGTTAGTGTCAGGTAAAGACCCACAAGATATTGCTAATGTTTTAACACTGGAACTGGAGTCCTGCAGCAAATGGTTAGTAGATAACAAACTATCGTTACAAACCATACCACGGGTGAGATTTGAACCCGCGGTCAGAGTCAAAATTCCAGACCGTCGCGTTAGCCACTGGACCAGCTAGCCGCGGGTTCAAATCCCGCCCGGGGTATGGTTTGTTTGCAATCGTGTCATTACGATTTCGTGAGTCATGTTGACGGCAGTGAGGGGACTTGAGCTAGAGTTCGTCACGGCCACGCTAGCTGGAGATTCGTCTATAAAAACCTGCATTTGTGGTCACAGTGGTGCCTATACTAACCTTCCTATGGTGTAGAAATACACCTAGTTGGACGAATCTTATTGTGGCTAGCTGGTCCAGTGGCTAACGAGACGGTCTGGAGTTTTGAGACTCTCTGACCGCGGGTTCAAATCCCGCCCGTGGTATGGCTTGTTTGCAATCGTGTCATTACGATTTCGTGAGTCAAACTATCGTTACACCTCTGGAAAATTGAAGCCATACTCTGGCACGAAACATAAACTGAGAAGGGTAAATAATTTTAATGTCCAGTGTAATGGGGAGTCCATCACTTTGGTTTCATCAGTAAAATATCTGGGAATCCCCTTTGACCCATGTATGTCAGGAGAACTGATAGGGAACAGTGTAGTAAAGAAAGCGAATGTCAGACTGAAGTTCCTGTATAGACAAGCACAGTGTCTACCTACTGAGGCTCGCAGGACCCTATGTCTAGCCCTTATACAATGTCATATGGACTACGCTTGCTCTTCTTGGTACTCTGCCTTGACAAAAAAATAAACTAAAAGACTACATATCACCCAAATCTCGTTTACAGTATAATAAGGTATTAAAAGGACCCCAATGGAATTATTTCACTCTGACTTTTTTGGGTTATCCTAAGACTAGGATAACCCAAAAGAGTCAGACAGTAACATAGCATATGTGTAGAGAATCTAGGATCTAAGTTCTCTACACATATGCTGCTATGTATGGTAATCTATGTAACTACTTGTGTATGCCTGAATAAACTTACTAACTGCTGTTGCGTGTCACTCAGTAGGTCTGTCTCACTGTCACACAATCACTTCTTGGTTACTATGGTAACATCTTTACTTCCCCCCCACATGATGCTAGTCTTACCTCGTCTAGTTGGTTTATCAAAACCACACTACCAAATATTACTTTCTGGTGTGTCGCCCTAATCATTTGTTTAACCATTAAACTATGTTTGATGACCTGTCATTTCGCTGAAGTGTAAACCTTGAGAATAAACCAGGACAACTCTACCCTTATGGTTGTCTGGTGGTGTGATGTTATACTCAGTGGGTGATGACAAAATGTAATTTGCGTAGCAAGACGTTAAATAATGCAATCAGACGATCATGTCGGATACAGGTTAAGTTCCTAGTGAACAGGATGGCAGATGCTACCTTACATGTTAGTTATCTCTCATCAGGATCAAGTGAAGGGTCTAGCAACATGGTTCCAGAGCAGGATTCAAGGGACAGGGACAGATACATCGGAAATACAAGACCCAGAAATAGAGTTCAGAGATAAATAATACCTGAGAAGTACAAATGTCAGAGACAAGTCATCCACAAGCCCCAGGCTCAGAAATGAATATAGGATCTACGGTCATCCCTAGTAATGCCAAGAATATAACTTACAATGTAAGTGCAGTACAACAGTTCACTTCAGGAACTCAAACTCTAGCCACAGACCCCAAGACCTACACGCCATGAACACTGTTCCAAGCCAGTACCCTGCCCAATGTCTCCAACAGTCTCCTCCAGAGTCTCCAGCAGCCCTCTCCCAGAGCTCTGCACACAGTCAGCAGCTCAGAATCTGCTTTTCTAGCTGTTTCCTAGAGCTTAAATTGTCCTGCCCGCATCCCCCCCTTAACCCCAGGTTTTGGGGGTCACCCTCCGTGACTAACCACTCCTTACTGTCGCCGTCAAGAACAAAAGACCTGAGACTGCGAGGCGCCAGGAGACTTCCTCCAGTATCACACTTCCCTGCCAAGGCAAGGTATGTGACAATTTACACTGGTTGGTTAGGTCAATCTTTTGACCTTAGAAACACATTTAACCTACATCACATCTCTACTCTTATCTCTCTCCACTGCCTCTGTTTATTTGTATATTAATGTTTTTAAATTCAACACTAAGTGATTACTGACATAACTTGATAATTGCTGTTCCATCCATTGCACACACACACACACACACACACACACACACACACACACACACACACACACACACACACACACATATATATATATATATATATATATATATATATATATATATATATATATATATATATACATTATATATATATATATATAATATATATAATATATATATATATATATATATATATATATATATATATATATAAAGTTTTTCTTCTCTTTTTTTAGTAAATGTCTACAGGAGAAGGGGTTACTAGCCCATTGCTCCCGGCATTTTAGTCGCCTCATACGACACGCATGGCTTACGGAGGAAAGATTCTTTTCCACTTCCCCATGGACAATAGAAAAAATAAAGAAGAACAAGAGCTATTTAGAAAAAGGAGAAAAACCTAGATGTATGTATATATATATGCATGTGCATGTCTGTGAAGTGTGACCAAAGTGTAAGTAGGAGTAGCAAGATATCCCTGTTATCTAGCGTGTTTATGAGACAGAAAAAGAAACCAGCAATAACAAAAAGATTAGGTGATGAAAGATTGGATATCAGATTGGAGGGAGAGAGTATGGAGGAGGTGAATGTATTCAGATATTTGGGAGTGGACGTGTCAGCGGATGGGTCTATGAAAGATGAGGTGAATCATAGAATTGATGAGGGGAAAAGTGTGAGTGGTGCACTTAGGAGTCTGTAGAG